ATGAAAGAAACATAGCGTCAATAATTCATTGGCAGATGTTGTGTCTCTCGAGGGCGGTGGCGTGCACACTACACATTGTTCAAACGGTACCTCCGCGATGGATAGGATGATAGGTAATAGTTTGTATGTCATCCTCGCCTAAATCTGCACAGCAGAAAACGGCTTTCAGACGCGCATATCAAAAATGACACTGCACTTCAGTTACTCAGTCCGCCAATTCAAAATGTGGGGTTGCTGTGGTATGTCATTCAGAAAGTACATGCTATTTTGCAACAAAAAGCAGGAATACTAAAAGCATTGTTAACTGTGAGGAAAGGATGATTGTCAAAGTGTGAATCTGCTTGAGTCTGAGATGCTTTGACCATATGAATAAAAAGAGGAGGGGGGGGGCTTCTTGGTGTATGTCATTGGCTTGAACGAGCCAAGACCCCGCCTTGATAAAAAAGAGAAGAAAACACACACACACCAGAGTTGCACATAGTGAGCAAAAAAAAAAAGAGGCGGAGGGGAGAAAATAAAGCGGACTTGGACTCGGCTTTTAATCAACAAGGAGGTGGCGTGTATCCTATCGGCACCTTTTAGGCGACCGCGAAAGCAAGAACAAGAAAAGGGAGAAGGTTCCAGTTTTTTTCCGGAAGGATTAATAAAGTGGAATCTTGAATTACGGATGGTGATGATGCTACCCCAGCCGTTGACCACCAAGACGACGACGAAGACGACGACCGCGACGTGCGCCTAGAAAAAGTCAACTTGCCTCCCCCTTTTCACAGTTCGTGAAGGTATAAGAAGCGAATATCGGTGTTTTAAATGAGTTCGCGGCGAGGTGGGCAGACAGCTTCGGTCGAGCGGCCATGTGCGGCCACCTTAACGCGGAGGGAAGCGGCGGGTCGGTCCGACTGACAGCGCGCCTCCCCCTACGTTAATGTCCGCCACCTTGTTCCATTAGCACCGTTGCGAGGCAAGGGCGAGCCTGACCCCACCGTCCCTCCATCTCAGCGAAAATAGCCAATATGTTAGCGTGGCGAAGTTAGTAATGTAGTCAGAAGGGTGGCCCCTGAAAGGTCGCACTCTGAGTTGTGGTCGTTAAATCGTGCAGCGAACGACGCCATCCTCTTGCAGCCCCCCCGCCCAGCGGCACCACCGCCACTAGCCCTCGCTCACTTTGGCCCCCGCGGTGGAGCTCATCGGCCGGGCGTCGTCCACAAGCCGCCAAACAAGCCGAGAAGTACAAAATGTTGCTCTTTTTCCCCCCAGTACTCATTTGTCGGATTTTTTTGGCCGGTGCTTGAAGTGCTGTAGGTCAAAAGTGCAGCTGACCTGGTCGTTAAGTCACAGAAAGAGATGCAACTCGACTTAAAAGGGTGTGACACTGTGACCGAGACTCTTATAAATACATAAAAACAATAGGACTAATGTTCATTAGTAAATGTTGCAGGATATTTGGGTAAACTCTTGTTGCAGGATGTCCAAATTGGCGTCAAACATCTCTAACCACAATCAAAATGGCTTCCAATCACTGAAAGAGGAGACAGCTAGCAGCTAAATTGTCGCATCTGTCATGTGGAAATGACCCTGACCTCGTGTTTTGTCAGATGCCCTTGCCATGACCTCTCCCTGGGTGATGAGGGAGGGCCTCCAGGTCTTTGAGATTTGCTTTGTTTTGATTTTTGATGCAGCATTTTATGCAACAAGCTAGTGTCTCCGCTAAGCGTTGGCCGCTGCGGTTTGCTGTCTTCTACTACCATCCTCAGAATAGTTATTTCCTTCCTCTTAATATTAGTCATCTTTTTGGGGGTGACCAACCTTCACACTTGGTAGAAACAACTGTACACTGACTCACCTACTCACAATTTTTTGTAGAGCATATCTGAGCACTCTTCTAGTTATTCAATCTTCTAGTTCTGGCCGCAAGTTGAACTATATTTTGGAGAGCAAAACTTAACAGTTTAAAAAAAATGCTCCTCAAAGCCTTTTGAAGATGCTGTTGTTGTCGGTACCACAGAAACGAAACCTACTGCAACAACATGCAATAGTATGTCTCATTCATTTGTGAATGGCGTGACAGTGGTCGTTGCACGTTTGCCGCCTAAGATAATGAGCTTTCTCATGTGGTATACAGGATGCATAATAAATGACCATATCTTCAGGCATGAAAACACAAGGAAACGACAACTCCTGTTTTTTTTTTTTTTTTTAACTTTACAATTTCACTAATTTGGGCCTCATCAGGCTTGAATCCGTTTCGAGATCAAACGATATCTGGTGTTTTTTTAATTATTTTAAGAGCCCGAAAGCAAACTAAATAATTATCTGTTGTGCAACGTTAAAATTTATTTTAGAGTCTCAGTAACTTTAGGTTCTGGTTATTTGTAGTTGCTGGAACTAAAAGACCATTTTTGGTCCCCACTAAATGACCCCGTAATGAAATAGGGGCTCAGTTAAGTTCCCCACTGGTCAAATGCATAAGGGTCCTCCATCAGCTCCATTGTTGCCAAGGAAGTAGTTAAAATGGTGGACAGTTCCATGAAGTCCATTAAAGTGGGCTGTTAATCCTACAAAGTTATTCGACAGAAGTTAAACGAGCGGCCTGCTTCCTGTTTTTTCCTCTTATCCCTTTGCGTTAAAAATGTCTACTGTCGAGCTTTTAGAACAGACTCCCCCGCGTGAGGAATGTGCCCTCTGCCGTCCTCCACCGTGTGTTGCCCAGCAGCGACCTATCACTCATGGCAATTGAACGGCTCTCGAAGAGGGACCCCTGTTGGCGCCGTGCAATATTTATTACCATCAGTCAAACCCTCGAACGAAATCCTCCCCGCCGCCTTCTCCACTCTCTCCTCCCCCACGGGTGAATAACGGCGGCTTCTCTGAGTTCCACGTTAAAAAGTTCCCTCACTGGCCACCATTAGCTGGGATTTACGGTGGCAGCTTTCTCATGGAAGTGCCCGAGAGGGAGCGTGTGTCAGCGCGGTCGCTTACCTGCTGAGCCGTCAAATACGTTGCATGTTGGATATTTACCCGTTGCTTTTTTTTTTTTTTTTTTTTTTTTTTTTGTGACAACTCTTCACTGTTGATGTCAAGTAAGGCTAATTAAAAGTCGTTAGAGGAGTTGGGCTATCATGGAGGGTTTGTTTTCATTGTGGACACAATATAGAAACTCAAAATCTACCTTTTGATAAATAAACCAAAGGGACTGACTAGTGTAAAAGCATCTCTCGTTAAGGTCTTCTCGTATTGTAAACTGTATCTTGATGACAAAGAGACTGACTGACTGCCCAGGGTTTATTTCTCTTGGCCTAAGCACCACAAATTGGATGGACACTGGCAACGTTGCTGAAGGAAACATGTTTCATGTCACTTGTCTGGTCTCTCGGGGTGTTTGGCGTCTTCATTTCTTCTGCACACAACCGGAGAAACTGTCTGGCTGAGTGGAAGGTAGTTATTGGACTTTCTTGCTGTGATCTGCCCCCCCCCCCCCAAACACACACACACACACGCACACACACACACTTTACTGACAGCTGATGCGATTGTGTGATGTTGAGGTGAAAGGATAATTGGAGCTATGGATATCCTTATCACGGTGACAGTGAGAGCTCAGCTCCATTCAAAGGGAGAAGATGCAGCGATACGTCTTACATAAGGCTATATGTGCTGCTAAACAGATGTCTCTCCCCTTTTTTTTTTTTTTCTCCAGCGCAAGTCAGTGGCGCTGAACCTCATGTGGTCGGCGAGCAGATGGGCTACCTCTACAGTACCTTTACTAGGTCATGCCTTTATGTCAAGCTCAGAGCCCCCGCCCCCTGTAGGTGCCGTCGTGTCGTCAGGGCTAGCGGCGGCGTAAATTGAGGCTGATTATTTTCTTAAAACGTCATACTCGTTTCATTTAATGCATATTAATTGATGTGCTCTGGCGTAATCCACCAAGGATTTCTCAAAGGCGAGCACAAAAGGCCTTTATTATCTTAAGGAGGAAGTGGTCTTTTGGGACACCTCGTTGTGCGTTGCACCGCTAAACAGAGGTAAGTGAAATGAAATTACAACCAGCCAAGGATCGTATTGAATAATTACCTCGCCGGAGCCATTGTAGTAATGCCAAGGCGCTCTTTTTCGAGAAGCTGGCGGAGACGGGGGAGGTTATGGCTTCCCCTCGCAAAGAAGATGAATGCGGTTTCAAGGTTATACGAGTACCGTGCGATGGCCAAATGTTTTGAGAGGACGGGTTAATTTCATGTCCCTGTAATGTGATTTGCGATATCCACCTCTGTGTTGCCCTTGGTTTTTATTCTGGAGATAAGAACTCAACAGGCTTTTTTTCTCTTTCAAGTGTTTACAGGACCGCTAAGTGGATTTATTGGATGTGGGTCATCCTTATTATTTAGCCACCATTGCCCCAGCTTTGTGTATGATTTTTTTTTTTTTTTAAATAGCAATTCAGCTGTGATTTTTTTTTGAGAGAATTAGCCTGTTTCTTATGCACATAAGCAAAACATGAGCCCAATACAGAGGAGGAAAATTGCTGAGCACGGTTAATTACAGCGCAGGCAGCCAAATGGGGGTGAAGGGCCGCCATGGTAACGGCGGCATGGCTGCGCTTCTACTTTGTCTCCCGCAATGTGCCGCTCAGCAGTTTTGTATCTGCAGATCAGTCCAGTTAATGATCATGTCTGGAAGCCAAGACCGGCAGAAGCAATGGTAGCCTCGTTTCCAACAAGTGGTCAGGTTTGCCTATGCATTTTCTTTTGTGTAAATGAGGGTCCGAAAATATTTGACTCCTCCTTCGGTGCGCGCGCCACAGCGGTAAGTGTCAATGTGCTATCATGCTCCCTCTGTTCAGTACAATAACGGCATGAAAACAGAAATTGGAAGTTGTTCCAGGACTATTTCAAAATCTACGACTGAGTGTTTATTTCCCAGTTGTCAGTTAAGGAATTTTACTTTTAAATGCACATCGCTCGCTTTCGATGTAAGGCTAACCAAAAATATGTGATCCCACTTTTCAGCTGGACTTCGTTGGTGTGGCGGGATCCCCATCATGAAGGACCCGACCGGAACCCTTGGCTTTTGATGCTGGCAACTAACCAGTAAGGAGAGAGACTTGACTGTTTCCCCTGGTGCTGGATTTGGCTTCAACTCATGCGAGGCTGCTGTCACAGAAGTTGAACTTTGTACTCTCTGGCAAAAGGTAGGTCCTTCCTCCCTTTAGATCCCTTTTATGTCTTATAGGCTAACTGTCAGAATCGGAGTTAATAATGCTACACTTCCAGAATGGCCCACACAAATTTGCCTTATCACAGCTCAAAACAAAGCAAAAAGTACATGTTGGAGCTTCTTTTCATATTCCTTTACTTTCCAGTTTCATATATACAAATCCATGATACTGCCACGCTTGCAGCTCAGTTGTTCGCTATTTCTATCCTGTTCACTCAAGCACACTGCAGTAACGTTGCCCCGTAACACCTTGGATTTCCCAAATCTCCCGAAAGGATGCCTGAAGCTAACATTGGCCAAAAGATAAATTACGGAAGACACCGTGCGATTTGGGGAAAAAAAAATAAAAATGTGGCTTGCTGAGAAAGGACACAGTGCCTCTGTATTAAAACACCTACTCTTATGCTTTTTTTTCTTGGTGGTAGCAGGAGGTTGTCGCTAATGGAGTGCCAACATTTGCACGACTCGTTCATTAAATCTTGTGGTAAATCCACAAGTGGAATCAGCTTTTATAGCAAACATGTGATTTTTTAAATTTTATATTTATTCAGATATTTAAACGTGCCCTAATGTGCACGTAAAATTGCTTAGCTCTTCGTCTCACGCAAATTCTGCTCGCATCACCTACGGCGGTTTAAATTCACCTCAGTCGAATTTGCTCTGTTTTCAAATACGATAAAGTTTGCCTCATCATCTGCCCGTCATATGTCAAACCTCTTTGTTTTGTACTTAAACTTTTACCCGTACCATCATGCGGGTAGTGCAACTGTTTGCTTGAGCGCACCGCTACTCGTGAGTCGAAGAGGACCTCTTTGTCGGCGCCTTTTTCTCTCTCTCTCCCGACCCATCCATCTCAGCCCCCCCCCGCCCGTTGACCTGAGTGAAGGTCTCGCTGCTTATGTAATGTCTCCAAACATTTGTGCGGCGTTCGGGGGAAGTCAGGCATGCCAGAGCGGCGCAAAACTCTCATCGAGGTGGGACAGATGGCGAGCCTCATTTGCAGCCTTGCAAACTGCCCGTGACGGCGGCGACAAAGCGGGGCAGCGCTAACGGAGGCCTCGCAGACGCCGGACTAAGGTCGCTTGCATCAGCCAGGCTGTAAAGCATCGCCGGCTCCGGTGTTATGACTGCGAATTGTAGTATTGGCTGATTTATGGAAGCATTGATTCATCTTTTAAGAGGGAGAACGCAGCGTCTCACAGGTGGCGTGCCGCCATTATTAGCCAAAGCCATCGGAATCCCCGCGTTTGGACCATCCATCACGGAGTTAAGGAAGGTGACCCGGAGTTGTTTTGTAATTCGGTCGTTAATCAGCGCTCTGTCAGGTGCGTCGGCTTTGTCCGCTGCGAGCAACTCTTTGGGCAAAGTCCATTATCGAGTAAACACACAAAGAAATGAAGACGCCCGGCCGCCACAATCCCCACTATGGGAGATCAAATGGCAGGCCCGGTGATGATGAGCGATGTTTATGGCCAGCACTCTATTAAGGCCAAGCTCTTCCCTGCCTGGCACGTAATGAACACCCACCTTTGGGAAGCGCTGTATTACCGGTCGTTTTCATCAAAATGTGGCGTAATTGCCTTTGAATGAGTTTTGAGGGTAACTTGGCAAGGTGACTTGCTTATGGCAACATTAACTGTGTTGATTTGAATGGAACGAGCGCCACCCTCCACCATTTTTTTTTTTTTTGCATGCTAATGAAACCCTGTTACGTCCTTGGTTGGATGACAATTGCGCTCTTTCTGTTTGTACATGGAAACGCCTCCTCCAGATGTCCTCAACACTGCGGGAGGCACGCCAAAAAAAAAAAAAAGACAAGATCACTCCTCTCTTACCAATACTGCAGTGTGATTGCTTGTTGATTCTGTCAGGAAGTGGGTTAAATATTGACAACAAATCTCAAAGGGAGAGAGAGAGAGGGGGGGGGGGGCGATGTTTTGGGTTAGCGCAGACAATGTACCATCTGCACACGGCGGGGCGTATTGAGCGACACCGGACTACTGCTGTGAGCAACGATTGCATTGTTATTAAATGGCTGTTGCCTCCCTGGCAGCCATATTAAAGCCTCTGATCCTTTGCCCGGTGCAAGAAAAGGAAGAGAGAAAGGAGGACCTCCCCCCAGCCCCCACTGCACCACCACCACTACCACACCACCCCTCCACCCCCACCCTTGTCTGGAAAAAAGTCTGGCCCGCTGGACAGGGTGACATAACGTGCAGCTGCAACAGCACAGATTAGACGATGGCAGCGCAAACAGCAGGAAGAGACCGAAAGACAAGAGCTCCATCTTGAAGGCCGTTTTGGACCCATGCACGTTGATGATCTCATTTGGAAAAATGTGTCCTACCAACAGGGCATCGCATTTCTCATACCATATTTGTCACAGAACTTTCAAGAGGAGCGCACGCAAGACAGGCTTGAGTTGTAGTGTTCGTCACCTGGCCCGGGAGCCAGAGTCAGCCCGCAGCATCGTTTTTAGTACCACAAAATAAAAATATTAGAGTCTCCGTCCGATTCATCGTGTTCAAACGGTTTGATGAAATCGCATCTGATCAGTTTTGCTCTTGTTGCATTTTCTGCTCGGTTTTTGGGTGCCGCTTTTGCATCTCACGACTCAGTTTCGGTTTTCGGGAGCAGATTCCGTAAGCAGCATTAGACATTTTTTTCCAACATAGGGCTAGGGGGAGAATCTGTCGTTTCCCGCCAACTGATGTAATGTATACATGGTGTAAGTTGGAGCTGAGCCATACTTAGAATATTTGGAGTCGGGCGACTCTGTCAGATCAGCAGCTCAGTCTGTCGTCTCGAGGAAGTGAATGGCGGACGCTCATAAATATTCATGGGCCGCTCAGACTCCCGTTTTGTCGACAAAAAGTTTCCAAGGTCCCGTTTTTTTGTTTTTTTTTCCGAAGCACGTCATCCCCTTTTGATGGGACCTGACATTTGTCAAGGTTCTGCGCAGAGGATTTGTTTGTGACAGCTTCAAATTATTGCGGCACACATGGAGCCGAGAGGAAGAGGGAGACGGGAGGCGGGGAGGGTGAGAAAAGAAGAAAATAGCGGCTGCTTATTTAAATGTCACTTGAGCAAGGTGAATGCATAAGCTCCCCAAGCATCACATAGGAAATGCACCACAATAGAAGAGAGGTTTCTTGCCATTCTCCATTCTGGGCTTATGCGTCGGGCCCCGGCAGCCGGCGTTAAATCTTATGAAGCTCTGCCAGCACCTCGACTGTAACCACAAACCGTTTACTTGTTTGCTTTGTGCGTAGGTTGCGACTGAGGTGCCAAGCACTTGGGTCCCATTTTGGGGTGCGACATATACATTTTCAAGCTCTCCCACTCTGAAAACGAGTCAGAAAGACATTGCCTTAAGTGCAATCCGGGGGAGGAAGGCAGCAGAGGAAAAATATCTGATTACGGTGCCGCCATTTTTCCCTGCCCGGCGTTATTTCTTGACAGCACTCGAAAGCGCTTGAGAGAAGAGCGCGCGCAGGGGGAAGCTCAGAGTGTCACTGACCTTTCTAACAAGGACTAGAAGACACGCCAAGGCAAAGTCGCTCAAAAGTAAACCACTGCCGCTCATTTTCCCACCTAAATGCCCTCCGTCTCTCTTCCTTGTCAAATAGCGTGTGACACCGCTGGATTAAGTCCTCACAAGGCATGCCAGATGCTGCAATCAGATGACAAGCACCGACGCGTCTGCACTTCCGCAATGGTCGTTGCGCGGAGATGCATTCATGCTGCCGGCATGTCGATAAATTATGCAGCAAAAGCTTTTTTGTCCCTTTGTCCACTTTTTTCCCCCCCTTGTTGATCTGATGGATTCACACTTATGTGTTCCAAAAATGCCCTTTACCAATTTTTTTTTTATATATCTACAACGGCAATTATTACACGTACGTCTTTGGTGTATTTTTTTTCCTCAGGTATTGTATTTTTTGGATGTGCGCCATAGCGTAGATCCTCAGGGTCCTTGGATAGCTTCAGGTCAGAATCAGGCCTCTTCTAACAGTGGACAAAGTCAGACGCTGGTCAAATATTTGCCAGTACAACAGCGGCTGCTCCGTTAATGATGACTATATCAAGTCATATCCAATTTGTTCAAAATATCGAAATTGTATCCCTTGATCCATGACGTGTACATCCAGCGCTGCACTACAACCGTCATCTATTTTAATGCGCACATTTGTGACTATCAAGCTTGCGTGTACTGCCGTTGTGGCTCCCCCTGATTAATGGAGCAATTACATAATCCTTAACAGTGAATGATGATTGCGCTAACGATGAGCTCATGTTGGGTAACGACTTGCAGAGTTTGTTTGTGCGAAGTACGCAAAGGGAGGAGAGCGGCGGCTGACTGTGTTTGCCCCGCCAGCCCGGCTTGCGCTCACGCCGCCGCAGCTGCCGAATATCTAAACAGAGTCACTAATGTTTTTTTTTCCCCCCGTCGTCCCTGGAGATGGAGAATTAATTACAAAAGTAGGTTTTAATTGGGTTTGTGTTTACAAAATGTTGCCTTCATGCCCTAGTTGCACACGCGAATGAGGCATTACGCGTATGATTTGCGATGCGAAATGTCAATGCTCATTTAAATTAGAATCTCAGCGCTTTATCAGTATAGTCCGACTCGCTTCATGCCAACGCCGCAAGCGGCAGCGGAGCAAGCTTTGGCTTGACTCATGGCGGGCCTGAGGCCACTAACATTGCCTCTTGAGAAATGTAATCAGTTTGCTCCACTTGGGCCTGAGCCCGGCTGCTGTTAAGAGACCAGACAGCTCAATCTGCAGCTGGATCACCTGGGGTTATGTTTTGCGGGACCTCCTATGGGTCCTTGAGATCGAGAACGTATATGATGGAGATAACCGTACCGGCCTTTAAAAAATGCTCTTCTCGGAGGGTTCATAAAGCTCCTGAAGAGTAGGTTTGCCTGCGCGAAGCCACATGTTTACATTGTCCTTTCCTTTTTTTCCTCTTGCGATTTAATTTGTGATTAAATGAACATTTTTTTTTCAAGCTTGCTTGGCCACTATCGCCATAACTGACGCCCCGTCACACAACATGTAGACTGGCTAACGGTGAGCCAATTAACAGCCAGCTGTTAACCTCTCTCTCACTGACTCCCACGTCAAGAGAAGACGACCCCTAAGTAGACCAAAATCATACCTGCACCTCAGGTAATGTGCTATTGTTGTTTCATACTGCAAAATCATTTTTTTTATCATCAGGAGAATAATCTATCCTAAAAAATACTTTACATCCGCAGCTCTACATTTAGCACTACACGCAGTGACATCAGTCATAGCAAAGGTAATTAAATTTACCAGCCAGGGCTGCTGTTTGAGCAAATACGATCATTGATCAAACTGCTAAGTCAAAAAAAAAAACAATTACATTGCTCGCACCTCTCCATCTTGTTTAGTCAGCTTGATGTGTGTGGAGCACAATATCAGCATGTAAGACCCAGGGGATTGTGCGTGTGTGTGCGTGTGTGTGTGTGTGTTTAAGAGAATGAGTCCAGTCAGACGCTCGAATGTGTGTCATCTCCTGAGTGCAACACCAGCTTGGCCCACTTCTGCCTGACCGACTAGACTGTGTCCCACCCCCCCCCACCCCCCTTCTTGTCTCTTTGTGTTTAGTGCTATCGTTCCTGCGTGGGGTCCACTTCTCATGACTCTCCTTCAAACAAAACACAGCAAAACCGAAAGCGCGCAAAGACGCACAACATCCCAGGTGAATCCACAAATCAGACGGGACCACCCTGCGCACTCGCGCAGAGTTCATAGCCACGTGCTCGTGCTCAAGTAGGTCAAAAATGGGGAGGGGGGGAGCTGAACTTTAGGCCCTACTTTTTTTTTTTGCAGAAAGCATGAGGCTCCATGACCTCGTACAAGCTGATTTGATCTCGCACTAAAAACTTGCATTTGAAGTTTGTCAGAAAGCTTTGCTTGCACTCCCGCGTATTGCCTAGTAAGCAGATGCATACATAGTGTGTCAAACACTTTAGTCATTCAGTTTTGACTTTATTATATTCTAATAGCATAATTAAATTGAATGTAAAAAAAAAATAATGGTAATTCGTATCTCAAGGCACCACTGCTCATGCTTTATATTGTTTTTTTAGTATTTTTTAAACCAACATTGTAAATAGAATTTATGTCGTCAGAGAAAAAAATGTAGGAATAAAACTACCAATTTAATTTATTGTTTATTCTCGTCAAAGTAATTTCTCGTGGAGACATAAAATTGCATATTTCAACCCTGACGTAATGTTTCAAAAAATGACCAGCGTACGTGTCTGTTTTGGCTTTCTGTTCCCGCTACTATGCGAAGCTAACTCGCTTGTTCTCTTATATCCAACGAAAAAATGTAAATTGTCTTACAGTCTTTTGGGACACTGTCGAGAACTCTCACCCTCAGTAGCCAAGGCCCCCCTCCCAACTCACTCCGGGCTGCCTCAGCCTGCCTCAGGCCTCATTATGCCATTAGCCGCTTGGGGCCTCAGTCCATTTGCTGGCTGGAAAGTGTGACGGAGGCCCCCCTTTCACAGGGTCGCCACTCTTGCTGGAGGCCGGTCAGCTGAGAAATGAGTGAGCGTGAACCAGTGTATTCACTTCACACTCGGATTATGTATTTGACACTAATAGTGATGTAGCGCTTACATCCTTCCCGCTGATCCACACTGGTGATAATACCTCATGGTTAGATTGCGGACCTTTTAACCTTTCGTCGTAGCTGCTATATGAAAAATGTGTTTGTCCTTTTATTTGTGTAGTTTCATTAGGCCTCTACGTTTTGGATTTGAAGTCTGCTGAGAGCGCGCGAGAGAAAATCAGCTCAAGTGAAAAATGCCAACTTAGGTGGGAGAAATTCCAAAAGCGCGGCTTCCGAGTCTCATTCGGACCCCCGCGCGATGTTTTGTACGGGTGTGTCTGGAGAAGACGAGTAGCGCTCGTTCGCTTGCATAGTTTCTGTTTAGCCACCGCAAAAGCAGCGCGAGACACAGTGAGAATCCATCCCGGCTCCCCTCGTGGGAATCGAGCCGACGCTCGCAACACAATGATGAAGTATCGGGTGACTTGAGGAAAATAGCTAAGATCCTCCCGACTAGCGAAGATGAGGCGACATCTTGTTTCAGTTTATGTCGGACACGTGATCCACTGAATAAGAAAATCAAGACCAAACCACAGAACTCAGTCAAAGGGCTTTTGAGAAATGCACCGCTGCTTTGCAACCCGTAAAAATACCAATGACTGCTTTGCTATTAGCCATCGTAGTACTTTTTGGACTCTGGGGGATATAGAGAGAGACATTATGAACAGAATCTTTTTGACTTGATTTTTGCGTATGACAAGAAGGCCATCCTAGAGTCGTTTTGCTGTGTTCGAGGAAGGTCTCGGCGAATTGTGTCTGACACTTGAGACGCGAGTGAAGCTCTCCACGTTAAGACCTGCCAGCTGCATCGCTCGGCTATGCCATTGCATGCAGCCAGTCGGATCCCTCATCGTGCGCCTCAGTCCAAATGATTCTGCTAACGTTTCTCTTTCATCGCTGGGAGTTTCAGCCTCTGTCTTCCTCATAGTTGTCTGACTGGCGGCGTCAGGTACAAAAGCGGCGACGAGTGGGCGGCGGGTAGGCGGACAAATGGATTTCGGGTCGTCCATCTCTCGAAGAAGCCTCCGCTGTGTTTGCTTCAGTCACTTTGTCATTTACACGTTTGATAACACGCTGCCTTGATGACTCTTTTAATTACATCCGCAGCGAGGGAACACATTTTGTATGATTTTCTTTTTCTTTGTGCTTTCGCAGGCAGGTTTCGGCGTTATTAAGGAAATTCTGCATGAACCCGAGTCAGCGGTTTTTGTCAAACCACCACACCTCCCCTCCGCCCTGGTATGCCGCAATCTCATCACATTTAGGAGAGAGGGGGTGCCGGAAAAAAATTTAATTGGAGGCGTGCGATAGTGACGACAGAAGCCCAGGCCAGGGTGCGGGATAAATCAGACGTCCTCCTGGCAGCTTTATGGCTTTGGAGAGGGAGAGAGAGAGAAAGAGAAAATGGGGAAAAAGTGGTTAACTTTAATGGCGGGAGATCGAATTGTTGGGCTGCACCCCCCCAACCCTCGCTCGACCCTCCCCCCAATTAGATCAGGCCCCTTTGACCGGGCTTGATGTATGGAGTTAATTCAGCTAGTTTTGCGCTATAATTCAAGTGCGCTTAAAGTGGCGCTGTGTGTCCTGTCGCATCCGCCTCTACTTTCTATCAGGTGTTAAACAATGACCAAATGAGCCCTCCCGTTATCACGGTCATCTCGGTCACGTCCTACCCTCACCGTGTCGAGGTCGCGCTCACCAAGCCCCCCCTCCAGGGGCCCACTCCTGACCTCCCGGCTGACTTAAGCCTTCTGCTTTCATAATACGGAGGGGGTGCAACCGACGTTGGCTAGTAAAGCAGACGCTCAAGTGGTTCCTGCAAGGGTAATAGGGGACCCGCTCTCCACTGCACTTGATTTAATCCGGCCCCTCTGTGTGTGGCGAGTGGAGGGCGGTTTAGTCTCGGAGCAGATGGATGGATAAATGGGAGCTGGGGGTCGCACCTCGCAAGACATCACGTGTTTGGGAATCCCAGAGAGTTCACAAAAGGGACTCAGTCACGGCCAGAAGCCGCTTTCAAGAGTTTTAACGAACAGACCCACACAATGTTGTGGTCTGTGACTATATAAGCTCCGACTCGCTTCTCTCACCAGGAAAAAGTTTGTTTCCAGCCTTTTCCATTCTTTAGTAATCAACACTGGAAAATAGGTTGGTTTCACCGAAACATTCATAAAATATCAAATGCACACAGCGCAAACGAAGCGCTAACGAACAATACTTTTTGGGGGGTTAACTGATCACTATGGGACTGGGTGGCTTCTTTCATACTGCGTTAAATGGACACATTTTACCTCAGTTGGTCACACTGTTTTGCGGCATTTGGATGCCATGATAAAAGCATCAAAACTTAAGTTGTATTTTGGAGTCTAGTTTGAGCACGAGTAGTGTTGCTGTAAACACGCTGCTTGGGTCAGAGGGTTCTGCACAGCATACTGAGCGAGCCAGGTAGAGGTGAGTGGGAGTCCCGACTACGAGGAGGAGGAGGAGGAGGTCGCGGCCATGTTTGTTGGCAATGCCGTTGGAGTGCGCCGCTTCTTGGCATCGGGAGCCTTTTTTTTTTTTTTTTTAC